CAATCTACATTTATTCAAATATAGTTAAGTCATCTTCTTCTGGAACATTGTCATAACTCTCCCGGTTGGTTGGTGCTGGGGGAAAGAGACCCACGGTGCTAAGTAAAATGGCAGCCACAGCTTTACTTCTTCCCCTTGAGGACACACAATACCTAGAGCGTCCTGCTCCTCAATTCACTGAGGAGACTTTGATTTTCTATGTCTCCCTCTATGCCTCAGCTTGCAGCACGCACAGAACGATGGGGCAGACGAAAAGGGCTGCCCATCTTTTTACCGCTCTGCGCCAGTGCGCTGCATAGCCCCACCTATCACTATGTCTTATTTTCGGGATATGGCTTATATTGCGCAAATGCTTAGAAATCCTGCTACGACTTATTTTATGGGTACGTCTTATTTTCAGAGAAACACGGTAAGTATTTTGGCGTGTGTTTTCTCTGAAAGGAGAATGCTAAAATATGATTCAATATTATTAGTTTTGGTGCTTTTTCTATGTTATTTTTTGTCTACTAAGTAATCAATGTTGTGTGCCTTCAAGTCATTTCCAATTTATGGCAATCCTAAAGTGGAACCTATCATGGTATTTTCTGGGACTGAGAGTATATGACTCCCAAGGTCATCCAGTGGGTTTCCATGGCCGAGCGGGGAATCAAACCCTGGTCTCCAGAATTGTAGCCCAGCGTTCAAACCACTGTACCATGCTGGCTCTATATAAGATGCGAAATTCTTCTAATAAGGAATTTGAGTAGGTAACTTTAATTTTCACAAGTAGATGTCTGTATTCTGCCTGTTGAGCATGCCTCACCATCAAATGAGTAGGTGATAGAAATGTCTCTGCTAAGGTTAGAAGTTTTCTGTTTATTAGTCAACTGAAGTTTTGAGTTGGCTCCAGGGGACTCAGTATTAATAATGTGGGAAGACATGGGTACCAGAGTCCCACTACATAAGAGACTGTTGAGTGAATTGTAACAGACAGCAAAGCCTTTGGATTCTCTTGGATGATGAAAGCTTAGGTTTCAATAAGGCAGCTAAGTTAGTTTGTAGGTCAGGGTTGTGAGGTCTGGCTGTCCAGATGTTGTTGAACTATAGCTCCCAGCCTTTCTAAATATTAGCTGGATGGGTAGGGCTGATGTGAGTTGCAGTCCAGTATCTTGAGGGCTATACTTTCTCATTCCAGTTGCTTTGTCCAAGTGTATAACATTACACTAGCAAATGCTACAGTAGATTGACAACATGTTGTCTAGCTACTCAAATCCTCTGCTGGTGATTTAGTAGAGAGGCTTTGTTTCTATGACTGGTTGTATGGAATCTTTTCCCTCTTTCAGCAAAGCTGCTTTGCTCCTATGAATGGGAGGTGTATACTTAACCTACATTGATGTAATTCATTTACTCAGGCTGCAGTCTCATGATTGGATCAAAGTTTGGTGGGCTGCCATCTTGGGCTGTGGACTCCGGCTGCGGGTTTGTAAAAGCACATGTTTCCTAGTAAGTTGGCTGACAGATCTCATGATAAATTCTCATTCTTCCCATTGAGATTTTATTTCATAGAAGTTCTGATGCGGCTGGTTCCATTGGCAAGGATTGTTCCAACCCTTTGCTGCAATTTCTTTTATCCAGTTCATCTCAAAGGTGCTACAAGATCCCTGAGATCCATTTGCAGAGTCTTTTTAAATTGTGTGCTATTTTGGCACTTGTGTAGGATGTATAAATCAAAAACAAAAATGGAACAGGCATATGGCACATGTACATTGTTGTGTGTCTGTGAACATGTGTATATACTGAAGTAATGAACTTTGGCATTGCTGGTATGTCCTTCCAAATGTTGCACAACTTGAGGGCTCATCTTTTAGTATCTACATTAAGTCAATTAATATACAGCATCAAACCAAAAATCCATTTAATCCAGTGGCATTGTTTTTAACAGTGGCTAGCTAGATCACCTTGGAAAGCTCACAGACAAGGTATGTGGAAAATGAATCCTTCGCATGCACAGGTATGCTTCATCTGAGCAGAGAGATTTCATTTTAGTTCTTACAATGAATGATTAATGAAAGACCTTTACATCACAAATTCCTCTAATTCTTTTGTAAAGCTGTTAACCTAGTGGCTACCAGATTTTGGAGTAATGATTTCCTTTTGCTGGCCCTGATCTTTCATACCAAATTTTAGCATATTGAAAGAAAGAAAGTTTGTTAAGAAAGAAAGTCTACTGGAAGTGTAGTACATAATGGAGCGGCTTCTCTCTCCCCCCCCCCCCACATACTCAGTTACTAGACTGTTACAAGGAGTAGGAGACAATTGTTTGTTTATATAGTGCCATCAATGTACATAGTGATCTACAGAGTGCAAGAGGAGAGGTCACTGCACCAAGAGCTTGCAGTCAGCAATTCACTCCGGGAGAGACAACAGAGGAAAAGAAGAGAATGCAGGAGTAAATGGAAATACTGTAATATGTATTATTTTAGTTTTACCCAGGTAGGCTTGTTTACAGAACTGTAATAGCATGTGGAGATGAGGTTGTGCTGAAATGTTTACAGAAAACTTGGGTTCTGAAGAGAGAGATGAAGGAAGAAAGTGGTAGCACTGTGCAGTTGTTGTGAAAGATAGCTTGAGGGGAAAATGGCTAAATCCAATCAAGTGGGGGAGAGAGGGGAGTAAGAGGTGGTGGTGGTCATTTTGGGAAGACTGAGAGAGAGAGGACCAAAGGTTGTGGCCAGGACTGTGCATCTGTATATAATAACACTGTGAAGGTAAGTGTACAGTATGTGAGAGTAGTGAACAGGAAGCCATAAAGGATTTTAGAAGTGAAGGCCTTTTTGCATCTTTCACTTCCTGATCTAGTCCTCTTCCTTCACTTAGGTCCAAAAAACACTGCAGAAATAATCTAGTTTGAGACCGCTTTAACTGACTTAGTGCTAGGGAATTTTGGGAACTGTAGTTTTGTGAGACATTTAGCCATCTCTGTCAGAGAGCTCTGGTGCCCCAACAAACTACATTTCCCAGGATTCCCTAGCATTGAGCCAGGGCAGTTAAAGCGGTCTCAATGGATTATTTCTGCAGTATGTTTTGGACTTTAGTTGAGAATGAGGCTAGTAGAATAGAGAGCGCTGTCAGGCATTTATTAGATAGTTGTCAGAGACCAGTGCATCTGAAGCTGATCCTAAACACTGCACAGATTAATGTGGGACCTGGTACTCATTGGGGAAACTTGATGCTGAATTGTCTAGGATTTTGTAGGTTAAAATCAGTCCTTCAAAGTGAGCCAGGAACCGTGGGTGGATATTTTCAGTGGAATAATATATTTGTGTGTGTGCATCAATTTGGTATCGGCATTTTCTACCAACTAAAATTTCCTGACTTTTTTTAAAAAAAAAAAACTAGACACCCCCTCCCCCCATAAAGTACATTAGTAGTAATCTCATGTGGAAACAACTGAGGCATGGATAATTGATGCCACATCCATTTTCTCTGATAAAGGCTGGAGTCAAGTGAACAGCCAAGGAAGCCATTGTTTACTGCCACTTTTGTATCCAGGGGCAGTGATGGATCAAGGAGTATACTAAAACTGCATACTGGTTGATTAAGAAAGGTGTGTAACCTTGTCCTAAAGAGATTAAGTATCTTTAGCCAGATTTCTGAAACTTTTGACCAAGGGTACCTCTTACCTGAGGTAATAATATACCTGTCTTGTCTTAACTGTCAATTGCTCACTCGGCTTCTCACCTCTGCTGCCTAATTGGAAAAATGGCAACAGGTGGAAATAGAGGTATACAGGCATCCCTCCCCATTTGCGGACTTGAAGTCTGTGGTCTCACTTGTTAGTGGGGACAGACAAAATGGTGGGTGTGCCCGAGGTGTGCGCGCAGCACCGCACACAGGAGTGTGCCCCCATTGTAACCAGTGGGGACTTCAATTTTTGCATTTCTCCAGATTCATGGGTGGTGAGTTCCAGAACAGATCCCCTGCAAATCAGGAGGGACACCTGTATATCATTCACATAATAGTGACCTTCACCTTGAGTATCATTTAGGTCAGGGTGGGTAATATATGGTCCTCTGGATGTGGTCAGAAGGCAGCTACCATCAGTTCTAACCAACATAGCTTTGTGTGAAGTATGATGGGAAGGGAAAGGAGTGAGAGAATCAAGTTGTTATGTCCGGTAGGGATATCTCAATGCATACAGTTGTTACACCTGTATTGAATGGGCTTGAATCCATAATTTCTTTCTATTTACCACTGAAATCAGGGACTTGTACTCCCTGCTTTGTTTTCAGTTCCTTCTCTGAACCACTAACATTGAATTTGTCTTCCCCTGCCTTAATCTTACATAGATACTTTAACATATTTCACTGAGCTTTGACAAGATCTCGTACCTCCATTTCAGTGTGCATATATAGTTAGATTTGAGGTTCTTTGCATTTAAATCAAATCTCAATTTCTGTTCTGTTGTCTGTGGCACATTTTGGAAAGATCTTACTGGACTTTTTTCAGTCTGCTTGGAAATTAGCAGATAGAGCAAATTCTCAGTCATTAGATGTCATTACAGATCTGTCTCTACTGTGAATTGATAAACAAATGAATTTTAAAAAACACCACTGCCCCAGTAGAGCCTGAGGGGACTCCACACATTATTTACCATTCTCCATTGAGGAAACTATTCCTTTAGTCTACCCTGTGTATTGTTCTTTTTAAAAATCTACCTACTGATCTGTAAGAAGGTGCATCCTTCATCTCACCACTCCTAGGTTTGCTTAACGGTCTTTAGCAAGGCATTTTGTCAAAGTCTTCTTTGAAATTTCAAGCATATAATCTCAATATTGTTTATGTTCTTGGTCACTTTCATAGAACCATAAAGGACTGGTGAAGTAAGACTTCCTGTTGATTGTTTCAGCAACATATTATTCTGTATACAAAAATCCACAAATTTCTTTATAACCTGAGCCAGTCCTTCTAGCCAGTATTGTTGTAGGCAGGCTTTCCTGGATTTCAGACATAATTTTCCCCATGTCCTTCCTGGAGATGCTGGAGACTACACCTGAAATTTTGTGTATTCAAAGCACATGTCCTGGAACTGTGCTTCAGATCATTTTCCACTAATTTATTTGATATGAAGGTCCAAAACACACTGCAGAAATAATCCAGTTTGAGACCACGTTAACTGCCCTGGCTCAGTGCTAGGGAATTCTGGAATTTGTAGTTTATTGTGGCATCTGAGTTCTCTGACAGAGAAGGCTAAATATCTAACAAAACAATTCCCAGAATTCCCAAGCATTAAGCCAGGGCAATTAAAGCAGAAACTGGATTATTTCCGCAGTGTATTTTGAACCATAGAGTCAGTTTTAAGCTGATATTGAAGCGGACAGAGTGGGGACCACACAGTACTGGTGGATAAACCAACAACTATTCCATATTTGCTCCCCTCATTGTTTGTTTGCTACTTTATGTTGGAATCGCCACCCCTCAATCCCTGTCCTTTGGTTTAGAAAAATTGGTTTTAGCTGCAAGTTTTATGTTGGCTTAGTGTTTAAGACGCCAATTCTGATGATTGGACGATCAGAAGGTTGGCAGTTCGAGGCCCAGGTGCTGGATGATGGGGTGAGCTCCTGTCATTAGTCCTAGCTTCTGCCAACCTAACAGTTCAAAAGTATACAAATGCAAGTAGATAGATAGGTACCACTTTGGTGGGAAGGTAAC